CTGTTATGCTGTTCAGATGAGCCACTGGATGCAGAACTAACAGGCAGGTTCTCAGCTGATTTTTCTGATGAAGTACTAGCTTCATCACACAGATGGTCAGGCCTACTGTTAATGCAGTCATGCAGAGAATAGGATGATTTCTCAGCTGCTTCATCAGACCAATGCTCAGATCTACTATCAACATGAGCTTGCAGATCATCAGGAGGCTCAGGGGAAACTCCTGTCATGGTTGGAAGTATAATTTCAGATAAAGTTCCTTTCTGTGGATCTCCATTGGCTTGGAAAGGAAAGATGGTCTCATGAAAAGATACATCTCTAGACACAAATATCTCCTTGGAATGGAGGTCATATAGCTTGTATCCTTTGACTCCATTTGCATACCCAAAGAAAACACACTTCCTTGCCCTGGCATCAAATTTAGACCTATGTCCCAAGGTAGCAGCATAGGCCAAACAACCAAATATCCTTAAGTGATGATATTGTGGTGCTTTATGAAGGAGAACCTGAAAAGGTATTTGGTTGTTAATGGCACTGGAAGGCAACCTGTTTATAATATAAGCTGCATGCAACACACATTCTCCCCAAAATTGTTCAGGCAAATTAGCTTGGAACTTCAGTGCTCTTGCAGTAGACAGAAGATGTCCATGTTTCCTTTCAACTCTACTATTTTGCTGTGGAGTGTAGGGACATGAAGTCTGATGTTGTATCCCCTTTTTATTAAGAAAATCAGCCATATCAAATTCTCTGCCATTGTCTGATCTGATGCTTTTAACATGAGACTCAAACTGGTTCTCAACCATATTGCAGAAGTTTATAATCAGTGTTCTAGCTTCAGATTTCTTCCTCATCAAAAAAATCCACACTGCCCTACTATGGTCATCCAATATTGTAAGAAAGTATTGGTGTCCATGGAGGGTGGGAATTTTATATGGTCCCCAAATATCTATATGTAACAAATCAAAGCAAGCATATCCACATACTTGTACCAGGATTAGCAGACTTTGAAAGAAAACCAGTACCTTCCAATTGATTAGCTGAGATGGTATTGGCATGGCAGATAGTATTGGTTTCTTCAAGAGGAGTGCTATTCACAAATCCTTTCTCACCATGTGATTTTTGTACCTGCACAAATTCAAGAAACTTCTTGAAATCATCTTGAGTGAAAGTTATACTTCCATCAAAACTGGTCTGTTGAACTGGCAAAGATCCTTGAGCACTGTTGACAGCAAAGTTTTGATTTCTGGTCCTTGCTTCCACCCAGGTGGATAGCCATGTTTTTTATAACATTTGTCCTCCGTGTGCCATGTGAATCCACAAAAGGTGCAAATGGCCTTCTTATTTCTTCCAGCAAATTTCTTATAATTCTGTTGTCCATTGTGTGCTCTAGCCATCAGGGCATTTCCAGCAACATTATTCTCTCCAGTTTGGAACAATTGACTTCCAAATCCAGCAGAATTGATATGAAACTGTCTCTCTTGTTGTGCTATCATGGAATAGGCCTCACTGACCTCTGGCAAGGGCTTCATCAACATAATTTGATTCCTGGCACCAGTATATCTTTCGTGTAATCCAATTAGAAAAATGGATAGCTTGTCTTTCTCCGTCTGTTCATTCATCATGTCAATCTTCTTCCCGCACTCACATCTGTTATTGCAGTCGCAGAATGCAGGAGGTCTGAGGATCTGCAATTCATCCCACAACAACTTTTGATGTGTAAAGTATTCATTCAAGGTGTTGTCCCCCTGCTTGGATTGATAGATCTCGCATTTGATCTATGCAACTCGAAAGAGATCTTGCTGGCTGAATCTCTTCTTCAAATCTTTCCAAATTCCAGAGGCCGTGTCGATCCAGAGGACGCTCTGGCCTATCGTTGGTGACAGGGAGCGAATTAGCCAAGTTACAACCATATTGTTACAACGTTCCCAATACGGATACCTTCGATCACCTCTTAGAGGTTTGGTGATGGTTCCGTCTACAAATGCCAGCTTATTCTTGCACGACAACGCCATAGTTACTGCCCTAGCCCACGGATGATAGTTGGGACCGTCTAGGGGAGTAGATACCAGTTCTAGAGCTGGATTTTCATTCGCGTGCATGAAGTAGGGATTCGATTGTGATTGCGAATCCAAGGACAATTCTGTCGCAGTGAACAGATTCGGCAAGGAGGTTGACGCCGGAGCCGGTGCCGGACTTCCAGCGGCTGTTCCTCCTGCTGTACTATCGGTCGGAGCTGTTCTTGTGCCAAGAGTTGGCCATGCCTCCATGGTGTTTCCTCAGAAGGTTCCTCACAGTAGCTCGGATACCATGTTGCGTTTGTGAGAGAGATGGAAACAGAAAGAAGGAAGAAAGAAAGATATTTTCTCATTGAACTCTAACAGAAAGCATCATACAAGCTTAAGTACTGAAGCAGAAGCGGGAATACAAAAATTAACTAACTCTAACAACCATCCTAACAGAATTAGTTGAGGGATGTGATGAAGACATGTCAGTTGCTGCTTCTTGTTCCCTAAGTAGGAGGAGGGAGTCTCTTTTGACTTGGTGATACAACATTTTCTGGTCTCTATGGAATGCTTCTCTGGCTCGGGAGGAAGGATCCTCAAATTGGCACCATTTTAAAATAATGTGTTTTATGATTACTAAATGATTTGAATCCAATTAACAAAGTTACAAAGTAGATGAACAATGAAACAAACATGGTAATTGGTAAATACAAAAGTTTCAACCCATAAATTTGACAATACAGTATATGTAAGTATATAAGGAAATGATTAAGTCAACATACATTTCTTGATTAGCATTACATTTCTTACATAAGCGCTCCATTTCCATCATGACCCAAAATCGTGTCATGAATAAGGATCCATGATATTCAGATTTTGCATTAATCTTATCATCACTTTTCAAATAATATGAGAAATAAGAATTATGAAACAATGTTATTGTTAATATTCTAACCATTTCAATAGATATAACCACTTTAAAACGTACGACACATTGTTGGTCAACAATGTAACTTGAGGAGTCGTAGCGGCTTAGAAGAAAGAAAGAAAACGATCGAATACTCATTAACTATTGAAGATTGCACTAATAGAGTGATCTGAGTTTGAAATACTGCATGCGTATTGAACCACTAAGCTAAGTTAATTTGGAAAAAGATCGAATTGGGTTCAATAATTAAAAACAAAATGCATATTATATTATTAGTAACCTAACATCATATATAAATTATTAATTAGTATGATGGATATGATGTTGGAAGTTTAATTAGGTGAATTATATATATTATTATTGTTGAAAGAAAATAAAAGGTAGAAAAAGTAGCTACAATTCGTTGAGCTTGGCTGTAGTTTCAGCGGCGGTACAATCAGAGTCGCACTTCATCTCGCAATCGGTGTAGGTTCGGCCTTCCTCAATGCAATCATTGAGGCACGTCTCGAAGCACTCTTTGTACACCTTCGACACACCCTTCTTAGCATCCATGCCCGACAACGCCACCATCAATATCACAAACACTGCTATCATTTTCACCTGATCGCCTCCTCCTGCGCCCATTTTTTTTTTTCTTCTTTAATTTTATGTTTGGTGAAGAATTATATTCGATCTTGAGGGTTAGACAAGGGCATTTATATTATCGGCTAACTTCAATTCTGATGGATCTTCTGTTAGTTTTAGATTTCTACGGTCTGCCACAACATCAACTTAGGCTTTTCTTTAGTAATTAATTGCTTAATTGGTTACGTTGGATGGGTCACAAGTAAAATTGGACAAAGTCATGACAATATATATATAATTGGTTGAGATTGAAAACTAGAGACTATATTTGTTGGTTTTAGGACTTTTGGCAGGTCCAACACAACCAAAGAGTTGGTGGGTTTACCGGTAGAGTAAATAGAAAAACTGGAAAATAAATAAGAAGCTGGATTTATATTCTACTAATATTGTGTACTAAGCTGGATTTATATTCTACTAATATTGTGTACTAGATCAACCATGTGAATCGGAGATTGATTATCACTTTGTTAGAGACAGAGTTGCTTCGGGAGACATTCAAGTTAATTTTATTTTATCCAAAGATCAACTTGCTCCCAATCTAGGCCTTACGGTTGTACTCCGATACACCGTTAATTAGGGGTCAACTTTAGGAGCTTGGCCAAGCGGGCTTCACTCAAAGTCACCTTCACACCTCGAACCTCGGAGGTGATTTCCAACTTATCCCCATTCTTGGTGACTACGTTTCGATAAAATTCTTTCACCAACTCAGGGTGGTATCACATTTAATATCCAAAAACACCCCTAACAAGCCTTGGTATCTAAGCATCTCAATCACCTCCCTAGAAAATTGATCGAGTTCAAGGGCTTTACCTTCTAAGACGAGGTAATGCTCATTATTTCATTCTACCCTTCTTATATTAGCGGGTCTTCTCGGCATTGCTCTTCCTGATCTTAGATTTTTGTTTCTTAGAGACAAGCTATACAGATTACTAGATTACCTTGTGTTTAGGGGGAGTATTATGACTCTATATATATATATATATATATATATATATATATATATATATATATATATATATGAGCTAGGTTAGCACTGTATATTTTAGTCTCCCTAAAATTTCTTCATTGTATATATTCTTGTAATCCGTATCTTTGTAATTATTCAATCAATACAATACATTCAGTTCTCATTCAGATTAATCATTATTTTTAAAGTGTGAGATATAAAATATTGATATTATATTCTCATTTGAAGGGTAACTCGATCTATTCATATATTTACATGAACCATATACACCACGGAGTTACAGATTGAACAAGTAATTAAGAAGAGTACAGAGAAGCTAGAAAACATCAATAATTTACTAACATATTTTTAATATATATATATATATATATATATATATATATATATATATATATATATATGTTTTTGGTCAGGCTTCATTTAAGAATTAAGACAGCTCTCTTGAAATGATTACTGTATACACATGAGTTCGATAATTATGTGGGACAATAAAACAATAAGCATTGATTTGCAATATAACATTCCGACTAGCTAGCTAGCTACTGGGATGAGTCATACGTTTGGTTACATATACATTATATTGGCATGCACGTACGTACAGGTACAACGCACATATATAATATATAATATATAATATATAATAAATTGTTGGAATGGAAATTAATAATAAGCTAGGAATAATGATTGACAAATTAAAGGAAGATTAGGGATAGTGGTACAAAAAGCAATAGCGGCGAAAGAGAGTGGAATGAAGGTGAAATAATGGGAGGAGATGAATTAGGTTGATGAGGTGATGATGTTTTTGAGGGGTTAAGTAGTGGATTCATTCCAGCTGGAATTTTTTTGGGGTTGGGGACTAGTGGTGCAGCCATTGGTGGAGGTGTCCCCTTTTCTTTAGATGCTACGGGTGAAGACTTTTTGTTAGGTTGTCCATCTGTCGGTGGTGGTGGTGATGGTGGTGTTGCTACTGTTTCTGCAGAAGCAGGAGCAAGAGCAGGAGCCTCAACTGCCAGTGATGGTGCCATAGAGTTTTTTGAAACTGCATATAATATAATAACAAATTCAATAGCTTTATGGAGGTGTTTAAAATATAAATATATATATATATATATATATATATATATATATATATATATATATCTTAAACCAGTTTGGTTGACGTGAGTAACCATGCACTCTTATCTATTAAAAAAAATCGAGAGTTCAAATTCCCTCTCATATAGAAAAATCAATCTGACCAGCACTTTTTTGCTTAATTGGGACGACCCGGTGTGAACAGAAATTAATCTGAGTATAGTACAGACTTAAAGATATTTTCTAGTACAATAGAGTTAGGGCCTCGTGGTATAACCCAAAAAAAAAAAAAAAAAAGCCTTATAGAGGCTAGGTTTCATTTTTTTGCCATTCTAATTTTTCCTTAGACATGACACAGCTTAATTGGATTCTTTGGTGTACCTTATTATAAGTTGGTGCAGTCAGCTAAATTATGATCATTGAATAATTATAAGCCACATCAGGAGGATATTTAGGAAGATTAAAAAGTTTTTTCCATAAAAGAAAATCAAATTTAAAACTTGTTACCAGGACTATGTGGTCCAATGGTATCCGGGTTGGACTTCCATTTGGAAGATTATAAGTTCGAGCCTCAGTGGAGGCGTTATTGGTTCTTTGTGTTTCAGTAGGTTGAGAAAGTATATGAACAGATACTACAATGTAATAGAGCCAGTAACTTTCAAAAAAAAAAAAAATTTTAAAACTTGTTAAGAATTAGAAAAAAACTGGTTTTAATTGAAAGCTTTTATTTTTATTTTTGTTTTGTTTTGTTTGTTTGTTTTTTTTTTTTTTTTTAAACCAAAGCTTTTTTTTTTTTTTTTTTTTTTTTTTGGTTTTGTTTTTGGACTTATTGGTTAAAAAAACTCAAATCATGTTCTGAAAATTATATCTAATCTTTGAATTTGATAACTAGTTTAAATATTTCATTACTTATTTTTTGAAAATGAATATTTCATTACTTATATATTACACTATTAAAAATGTTTAATTTAGTCTCTATATAATGGTCAAGTTAGTCCATGTACTATTAAAAATAGAACAATTGTCCTATCTTTAATAATGTACGTAGGGACTAAATTGACCAATTTTATAGTATATGAAATAAATTGAATATCTTATAATAGTATATATAAGGACTAACGAAGTACTTAAACCATGATAATTTAATACCAAATTATTGTATTTTTGACAATTATATTCGATTATGGATAAAAATTATATCTAAATCTTTAAATTTTTTATAACATCAGTTATAATTTAGAGACGAGAATTGAGTACGACTAATAAGTAATTAGGAATTTTACAATTACCCTATAATTTAGAGATGAAAAATAAAATCTTTCTTAAAAATAAATAATAAGAACTCATCCGATTACAGATGTGAAATTTGTTACAAGAATAATAATTACCTCTTGAGCTATGCGGAGCAAGCGCAGGAGGTTGGGGTCGAGCAGGATGATGATGATGGTGGTGATGATGAGGTTGAGGCGAATAAGCAGGCGTCAACCCCACCGAACCTCCTGCATGCCATATAATTTCCAATTAAATACTATGGAGTATATATATAAGTTTGCGCTCTCATGAAAACCAATCTTATGTAAGAACCTGTGAACTACTGTATGGGTGTTCAAAATTTATTACTGCAACTATTCTCAGAGTTCCAAACATACTTAACAGGCCCGAGACCTTGAAAACATTGCAGTGCATTCGTGTAGTAAATTTTGTGCACTCATACAGTTCTCACATCATGTGAACGCAATCCTTGCGGATGAGAGATTGAGAGTTATACCTGGGGCTGATAGAGGGGCGCCTGAACCTGCAAAGTGCAGAAAAAAAAGGAAATTAGCTTAGCATAACTGATCGATGTCAACACAAGTATATATAAAATCATCTAATTTACTACTACTCTTATTATTGCATCTTTACTCATGTTGCATGCATGCATTACATATATATATAAATTTTGGTTCAAAAGAGAACAGGGCTTCCTGTGTGGTCAGTGCAGTTTACACTATTAGATATGTATAAATACATCACAGAGTGTTAAAAAATGCACCAGAATGAAATGTCACAAAATGCACCACACATCAAAAAAAATGCACCACACAGGAATGGTGTATTTTTGAACACTGTGTGGTGCATTTATGCATACCTAATGGTGTAAACTGCATCGACCTTACGAGAAGCTCTGTTCTCAGAGGAACCTGACCCTATATATATACATACCTTTGCACTGGACGGGGACACCAGAAGAGCATTGTTGGAGAGGAAGGTTGAGAACCAAAGTTCTGACAAATGGTATAGAAAGAGGGACGTTTCCGGTGATTATAAGGCAGGCACAGTCTATCATGTTAGTCATGATAGATTTGAGTGAATCGCAGCAGTCTTGAGTGGGGGAAGAAGACCCATTGGCACCGCTTCCCGTGATGTAGTTGAAGCAAGGGGTGAAGCTGCTCACTATTGAATTGGTACAAGGAGTGTTTATTTGCCCATTTGCCCCAACAATAATCATACCCATACAAATTACTATCATTATCTGACAACCCATTGATGATGATGAAAACATGTTTGTTAGTTTCACAACAAGCTGAGAATGGAGAGATCGCAAACCATTTATGGCCTTAATGAATATATGTTTTAAAAGTTAATTGTTAAGTGGGTTTGAAATTGAGGTTTGGAGGTAATCAACCTCTTTGACCCTAACTGGCCTGGCCTGCAGGGATTTTGGCTTTTTGTTTCACAAGTTTGGCTGGAAATTAAGGTAGAGTCAAAGGTAGGTTGTGACAGATATACTGCTCATATTGTTAGCTTTTTCGATCAAGAAAGTGCAAGATTGACCTGACTTTTGTGCCATTATATTGGTTCACACTCTTCTGTTCAACCTATTCTCTAACTAATCAAACCAGATCCAACCATCTTGCATTATATTGCAACACATATACTTGGGAAAAGGGTAAAATATAATAGGCTTCTAAACTTTATTCGAAAAGTAAATTAACCCCTTAAACTTTTAAAATTGCAATTAAATTCATAAACATGTTATTGTTAAGTATTGGAGTCCAAAAATTAGTTGGTGTCCTGTAATTGCAGGTCACTAGAGTATTGAACAATTTTCAGCGACCAGCCACCGTTTGTCGAAACCCTAGTGACATGCAATTATCGGTCATCAACAGGTTTTTGGACATCAATATAATGCTTCAAAATAATATGTTTATGTGTTTAATTGCAATTTTAAAAGTTTAAGGGTCTAAATTGATTTTTTTAAAAAATAAAGTGCAGGGATCTATTTGACCATTTTCCCCTATATAGTTTTACCAAAATTCATTTGTTGTTGAATCCTGATCACAAATACTCTTCTCACAAAAAGTTAATCCCCAACCCCAATGCCCTCCCCCACCCCGACCCGATAAAACATTTTGGAGGATGTAAATCACAGTAATTCAATGGCTCAGCACACATGATCAAATGTCCGCACAAAGAATCTATTTACTTTGAGCATAATTCCCACACTAAGTCACTACCCGACTGAGATTCGAACATTGATTTCTTCTCTAAATACTACTGAGACACATACTCAGCTCGATCCTAAGAAAAAATATATATAGTTTAGGTGGATAGTTGGCAGGCAAGATACCAAATTTAATTTAATTTAAAGATGGAGATAATTATGTATAGTAGGAATGTGAAGAGCGGGTTAGTTATGGTACACAGCCGATTAAGATCGAGTTGGCCAACTAAACTTACCAATCTGTTTTTGGTCTTTTCCTCATAAACATGGTATTTAAACCCCAAACCCCCTCGCCTTTCCCTCATCAACCATCTTTCCTAAACTGTAACGCAATTAATATTATATATATTTTTTCTATTAGAGATATATAGGATCTTTAAAAAAATATATACAATCAATGGCTTCTTCTTCTTCTTCTTCTTCTGCCATGGCCGCTCTAGCTATAGTGATGGTTGTTGCGGTGTGGAAGGGGGCTTGGGCTCAATCAAACTGCATGACTGCTATCGTGAGCCTGTCCCCCTGCATGAACTATGTCACCGGCAATTCATCATCGGCGCCGTCCTCGTCCTGTTGCTCCCAGCTCGCTAACGTTGTTCAGTCAACCCCACAATGTCTTTGCTCCCTGCTCAACGGCGGCGGTTCCTCTTTCGGCATCAACATTAATCAAACGCTCGCCATGGGCTTGCCTGCCGCCTGCAAAGTTCAGACCCCTCCCGTCAGCCGATGCAATGGTACCAATTCTTCCCACTTTACATTAATTTTCCATTCCGATAAAAGGCAAGTCCAGCAATAAGTGGTTAGGGAATTGTTGGACTGAACCCGATGAAGGGCAAAGTGCCAAAGTCTAGCAATCCATTGCTAGAAATTGTTGGGCTGATACCGATAAAGGGTTAAGTCCTTCAATTTATTGGATTGAAGTCGATGAAGGGCTAAGTTTGACAGATGCTAGTAAAGGATTAAGTTAAGTTTGGCAGATGCTAGTAAAGGATTAAGTTCAGCAATCCATAATTAGATAATTATTGGACTAAAACCAATAAAGGGACAAATTCAGTAATGGGTAGCTACGTAATTATTGAACTGAAACCAGTAAAGGGTCAAGTGCACCTTCCTCTTGAAAATGTGGTGATCGTATATAAGAAAATAAAGTTATCCATTAACTTTGAGCTATACATTTTGGTCTAGTAGTAAGTGTTTCATCTTAACCTGCACTGAATTTGTTAAAATTGAAACATACAGGTGCGAATGGGCCGAGTTCTTCGGCGGCGGTGCCACCGGCGGCGACTTCTCCGGTGGGCTCTGAAACACCATCCGATTCAGAAACCCCCACAACGCCCTCAGGCTCAGGATCCACAATCCCTACATCAGGATCGAAAACAGTTCCCTCCACAAATGGGTCCTCATCGGCCGGAAACAACGTCGGAGTTTCTTTCCATATTCTCAGCTTCTTCCTCTTCGCCGCATCATGGGCTCTATCTTCTGCTACAATCTAAGCCTCCACTACTGTATCCCAGGATAGGATTCTCATACAATCCTAATTCCTAAGCTTTCATCATCTGTGGTTTTGTCGTCTTTTTTTTTTTTTTTTCTTTGAATATACTTTGAATCATACTATTGTATTATTATTATTATTATTATTATTATTATTATTATTGTTATTGTTATTATTATTATTGGACTTTTACAGTGTCTTTGATCTTATTATTATTGATTTTGTATTAATAAACGTAGGATTTGATCTGATTATTGAAAATAGGGGACTTCTTTTGCACCTTATTTACGAAGTTTATAGAGTTTAGGATATAGTCTGATGAAATTTTCAAAATCAAAATTGGATTATAAAAGAAGGCGAAAAAAAAAATAGAGATTACATACTCCTAAATTAGTGTACAAGCAACATTTTCCCTTGTAATATGTCAACACGCATACAACACATTATAACAAATTTCCTCGCCACTTGACGCAAAGCATGGAAATATGGAATGACGTGAATGGAATCAATTCATGAACTAACTGAATATGAATTTGTCACATACTATGTAGTGCACAAACAGAAAATGTGGCACAAGAAATAAGCAAAGGAACAACGGGAAACAAGAAGTTCAGAAAGTATAAAAACTAAAGGGTTTAGGTTAAATAGCACAAATTATATTTAAAAAAGATAGACCAAAAGTTAAAGTCCATTTGAAATAATAATACAATGTTGAAAATTCAAAAGTTCTTAAACTTAAATATTTGAATTATTATGTTTTCATTAGAGATGAAAATAAGGCAGACCTTTTCATCAATCGTTATGCTATGGACCCGTGTCCAGCATGCATTGTGGACACGATAACGGTGTCGTTAGTGGCACCGTTATTTTTCACTTTTTTTAGAAAAAAAAAAAATCAGACCGCTTCATTATAGAATATATGTTCATAATTTTATCACAGTATATTCATAATTATAAGTTCATAATGTCAGAGCTCTGTGTTCATAATTCCATAACTGTACATTCATAATTCTATAACTGTACATTCATAATTCTATAATTGTACATTCATAATTCCCTAACTGTACATTCATAATTCCATAACTGTACATTCATAATTTTCGAAACTCTATCTTCATAATTTTATCACTATATGTTCATAATTGTAAGTTCATAATGTCAGAGCTCTGTGTTCATAATTTCATAACTTACATTCATAATTCCATAACTGTATATTCATAATTCCATAATTGTACATTCATAATTGCATAACTGTACATTCATAATGCCACAAACGAATAAAGCCGTTAACGACGAGACAAAATCAAATTTTTTTCTTTTAACGGGAATGCCACGTTTTTCTTAAAAATGACGTCGTTTTAGACTCGTGTCCACAATGCATTGTGGACACAAGTCCACGGCATAATTTGCGCCTTTTCATAGGGACCTAATAAGACCTAGTTTAATTTGGGTTTGGTCTGTCCTCGATCGCCTATTTAGTAAACAAGTCAAGCTTAGGCCTATTTAAATGCATGTTTAGCTAAACAACCCCAGACTTATATATATAAATAAGGTCTAGCCTTATTCCCGACCGACATGCCTTTGTCATTTTCTTTTTGTCTTTGTAGGTTTCAGGTCGGTTTTCTCATGAAGAACCCGGTCGGTTCCCGACCGGGCATCACCCGACCAGCGTTATCGACCACCGAGCGGTAGCCCTTTAGCGAGAGAGCTGATAAGAAACACGTGGCGGCTCTACGCGTTGACAGGCAGGGCACCCGGGACGACGACACGTGGTTGCTACATGGGAGGCATGCCGGACGGCCGAACTTGTGTCTCCGGCTCCGCGGCTATAAATACCCGCGATAGCGACAGTGTGAGGGACTTTTGGACGATCGATAGGTTGTTATTAGAGAATCCCGACCGCAGTCAGTCGGTACTCAGAGCAACCACTTAGATTGTACTTAGGGTCTTCACCTTGATCAATAAAAGACATTTAATTGCTTTATTTGGTCTTGTGTTTATTTAATTACCTCATTACGTGGCAATTAGTATTATCATTTTGGCGTCGTATGTGGGGATCGAACCCACACACACACACACACAGATATATATATATATATATATATATATATATATATATATATATATATATGATCAAGTGAAAAAGAAGCATTAGGTGAAAAATAGGATTTAATCTCATTTATTGATTTAGTCCAAATCAATGTTCAAAATGAAGTTTTTTTAAAAAAAAAAAAAAATAATAATAATAATAATAATAAAACGTAGTGGCATTATGATAATTTTGTGAGTTATTTTTTTTTCTTCTTCTAGGTTTTCCATCCCTTCTTCTAGAGCACATTGTTGTGCTTTCAACCTTTAATAAGTTCATAGGTGTTATTTAGGCTAAGGCTTGAGCCTTTAAAAAAAAACAAACAAACAAACAAATAACAAATAACAAAAAAAAAAAAAAAAAAAAAATTACATTCAGGCCCAGACCTAATTTTCTAAAGCTCGACCCGACCTATTTTCATCCCTAGTTTTAGTTAGCATTTTTATTAAAAAAAATAACAATAAAACACTTCAACTCAGATTCGTTTAAATGTAGGTATGCAAACAAATAGATGCCAACATTGTTGGTTTTTGGTATGGAGGTGCATGCTCCTCACAAGTACACATTTCAAGGAATCATCATATCACACCACGATATATTGTATCTTAGGAATGATCTTATCTTGAATTTTGAGATCTTGAACTCCACAAATGCCTCATCGAACTTACCAACAATCTTTTCAACCCTTAGATATATAGTATGAGCAAAACTAAAAACTAAATTGTTAGGAATCTAGTTGAGATAAGATATGGACAAAAATCTGGCTAAGTAGTATAAATAAAAGTTTTTTTTTTTCAGATTGTTATTAATGTGGATAAATATAAGTAATAAGATAAGCCTATGTTTTTTTTTTTTTTTTTTGACTTGTATACAACTTCTCATAGTTTACTTAGATTGAATGTTCACACAAATAACCTAAAAATTCTAAGCACTTTCATATAAAAAAAAGATATCATTTTCACTCAAAGAACTCAAGAATAACAAGTTGTTTATTATAATATTATTGTTTTGGCGGTTATTGTCAAAATAGGCCATTCATATATAAAAAGTACTAATTTGGAGGATGTGGTTGAGTGAAAGAAACTTATTCATTCTTAATCAAAAGTCAAGGGTTCGATCTTTGCCTTCAGGAATGGAGCATTAGTTTGTAACTGTCATTTTGGTTATTACTTTCCTTTTTACATTTAGGAAACATTGTTAATTAGTATTTAGAAAGCTCTTTATGTAAAGGTTCAAGACTTCTATCTAATGTACAAATACAGGTCTTTGTTAGTAGAAAGACGGAAATTAAGAGAGAATTTTTTCATTGATTGTATGGTACTAGAAATTGAACTCAAATGGCAAATGAACTCTCTTTGTGCGGGAGAATTTTGGTTCGATTCTCACAAGTGACGATCCTCTTTGGGCCAGCTTCTGTGCCTCTCGGAGCGAACCCGGTGGACCTGGATCGTTAAACAGACAGAGAAAGACCCGAAAAAAAAAAAAATATTGGTACTACAGTACACCTTGAGAAGTTGAACATCTAAAACACTTGATGCAAACGGGAGTCTGATGCAACAGGGTTGTTTTCTCATCAAGGTAGAAGGGAGTCGTGGGTTTCAATTCACAGTTGTACTTCTGAATAACATCAATTGGTCCACTAGGTGGTCTAATTATATAAGGTTATGTGTCGATTCACTTGAACATGCTTAATGAATTGGTCTTGAGCAGGGTTTGTGTTTTGCAAATTTAACCGCATCAACAACTTTATGTCTTCTTTATTTACCAGTATCTTAGCTTGAAAACTAATTAGATGATCTCTTCAGTCGATCCCATTGTATGATGACACAACGAAGAGCTTGAAATCCTTTGGCGCTCAGTAAGACAATATTTCAGGTGAAAAGGGTGATTTCGTCCCTCTTTCCCGCATCACTCATCTCCGAGCCTAGGCGCTCGAAGGTAGATCTCTCAACTAACTTATCAGATTACGAAAAGCTAGAATACGAGAACAAAAGCGAAAAACTCTTTTATTGCCTTGAGTTTGGGGAAAATCAGAATTCCCTTCTTACCATTTTTAGGGTATTTATACAAGAGGTGCTTGACCCAATAAAGAAACAAATTTCCCTAATAAATGCTACAAATTTCTATTCAATCACGGCTAGGATTTATGGCACGTTTGGTTTGCGGAATAGACCTGGAATGAAATAGTTTTCTCAGTAATAAGCTTATTTCTTTGTTTGGTAAAAATATCTATTCCCAGGAACAATGTTCCTGAGAAGGATCTATTCCCTTTGCAAGGGGAATAGAGATTCATGGGCCCCTCCTAGTATTAGACTATTCATGAGTTCTTAAGAATAGTCTAAAGTTGTTATTTCCTATTTTACCCCCCAATTGCATTTATTTCATATTTCATCACCGCCACCAACACCACTACCTCACCACCACTGCCGCCACCACTGCCGCCACCACCGCCACCATTGCCACCACCTCATATTTTTATAAGGATATTTATGTCTTTTAAAACATATTTCATTTCTATTTCTTAAACCAACCAAACACTTAAATATAATTCATAAAGTCTATTCCTTCTGCGAACCAAACAATAGAATACAATTCCTATGCTATTCCTTGACTATTCCATTCCTTATGGAATAGTATTCCTATTATCTCAAAATTCATTCCGTGAACCAAATGTGATGTTAGTGTTAACAAGTTACCTAAAATAATAAATTGACTTCCTAATTTAGAAAAAAAGGAAAGAATTTTATTAAGGTAAGAAATTTTTTAAATCCCCGCTATTAATGCCTCCAAATTTACCAATCGGCCATTTTTAATACGCGTGAAAATTTTCTTCAGAAACTACTTCGCCACCTAGCCTAAAGGTCCTGTGCTAAACGCTCTCATCGAGATTGGCCGAACGATTACTCCAGAGCCAGACCACTCGAATCCTAGTACCCCATTCATAAATAGTAATAATAAAGATTTGGTAAATTAAACATAAGGATGAATTAGATGAATTATAAATTT